GCCCAGTCACAGGGCTCTAGACTCTTCCACTCCTTGTGGAGTCCAGTACACTGACACGGCCCAGTCACAGGCTCTAGACTCTTCCAGTCCCTGTGGAGTCCAGTACACTGACACGGCCCAGTCACAGGCTCTGGACTCTTCTAGTCCCTGTGGAGTCCAGGACACTGACACGGCCCAGTCACAGGGCTCTGGACTCTTCTAGTCCCTGTGGAGTCCAGGACACTGACACAGCCCAGTCACAGGGCTCAAGACTCTTCTAGTCTCTGCAAAGAGGTTGGATATTTCAGCAAGACAACGATCCAAAACCTACCTCAAAATCAAACATGAAACACTTGCATGAATGAAAGATGGTTTTGGAACGGCCCTCACAGTCCCCAGACTTGAAGATTTTTGACAGTCTGCGGGTAGATCTCAAACACGCAGTGCTTGGAAGACGACCTAAGAATATTTCTGAGCTACAAGAGTTCAGCAAGGGAGAGTGGGAAACAATTCCTGAAACAAGAATAGAAAGACTCTTAGCTGACTACAAGAAACATTTGGTAGCTGTGATTTTGGCCAAAGGTGGTGTTACTAAGTATCACAGCCCAAACATTTGCACATGACACATTCACTTTGAATTTTTTTTCAATCTGTTAAATTGAGCAAATAAATAGTAATTGTGCATTAAAATGTCATGTTTAAATTTGTACATTGCAGAAATTAACTTTTTCCCCCCCATTTAACGTGTGAACATGTAATTTGACCAGGGGTAACCAAAACTTTTGCATGGAACTGTAAATTAAAATTAACAGTCAATTGGAGTAAAGAACGAAATGTAAATATTTTCATTAAGACTCCAAAAACAAATCCTTGAAATAGTGGAAAAGCCAAGTCAGCGTTTTTGGTATTCAGAGGCTCAGCTGTGTCCAGGCTCTCGCTGGGGAGTAATGAGGAAAGTCCCTAAGGATTCTGGATTTCAAAAGGCAGAGATGTGTTCCGTGTTCTCCCTGGAGGGAGAAGAGGAAATTCCCACCGGAATCCAGATTTCATAAGAGGGAGAAGGTGGGAGGCAGAAACTAAGCAAAA